TTTTATTTAATACGGACTAATATCCGTCACATAAAAATAGACATAAATTAATTCAAAATCAAATTAATATTAATGAATATAAAAATCTTAAGCCGCTTTTGATACTCTGCATATCAATATACAACAAGGAGACTTCTTCATATCGATTGTGAAAAAATATTGAGAAATACAAAAAATATTAATAACTCAATTCAAAACTAATACCTATTATTACCGAAATTAGTTCAACGTTTTTTGCATAATTGGCAAAGAATACAACACAAAATATATGCAAATTATTGGAAAAAAATTATTGAAATCTTAACATTAAATGCAGCTTAGACTTTTTAATTCATTATAAATATAGACATTTTTATTTAATGCACTAAATTCGAGAACAGGGTAAGTTCTATTCGAGCTAAATTGTGCTACCCAGCGATTATCTCAGTTCGTTTTTGTTCCTTATTCTTGTGTTTGTTTTTGTGGCAAAGTTCAGCGACCAAATTCAACAAATAACAACAAAAAGTCCAAACGGAACTTGGCATTGCCTTCAATGGCAACTATGTGGAAATTATGGTACCATGATATCACTAATTGCATAGCATTCAACCAGATAGTTTCCTATAAATTGATGAGGTCTTTGTTATTGTGTCTTTCATATTTTACTTGCGTACTTATTTCATTCAAGGTGTGTTTACTGTTTTTGTTGTAACTTTTTAGGGAATTTGTTTTTTTCTGTGACTCAACTGCCTTTTGGTACTTTGAACGTTTGATAAATATTTTAAAGCAGCAAAAACGATCAATTATGAGCGCTTATTGCCACTGATGACTGTTAGATGGCTTATGGATTGAATTTACTTTTATTTTTTGTGACTCAAGGAGAGATGAACAAGCTTGAAAATTGAAACTGTTCTGGAAAAGCTATAAAGTCGAGTCCCTTTAGGAGTTCTGTGTCTTTTTTCTAAGATTTCATCCCTGTGCCTGAAGTTAAATATTAATTGCATACTCGTACTGTGCCGCTATTAAATTAATTTCAGCTGAGTCACCTTAAGGAGCCTTTATTTTGCATTTGACCACATTTCGCCACCCTCGCACCGAACGAGCTGTTAATTTAAATAATTTCATAGCTGCCCTCAGACAATGTTTCCACCTCCCCATGGACAACACAACATATTTCAACATTTTTATTATTTTCGTTTTTTTTTTTTGTTTTGTGGTCGAAATAATATATTTTACAAAATAAGGAAAATGCAACTGAAAATGGGACCACTTTGCGGCAGGCAAGCGAGCGTAACGAAAACAAACACAACCCGTCCTGGCATAAGGATTCGTGCCGGTTAACCTCTTAACCCAACCGCATTACTCTACAAAAAAAAAACTCAAGGGACGCACGCGAGAAGAGGCAAACAGCAAGGAGACCCCAAAATATTAAGTATACGTAGCGTATAAAATTTTGTTTTCGAGTTGTTTGTTTTTTTTTTATAGAGCTTTTTGAGGCAGGAAAGTATCTTGCAAATAGACTTTCAGCACGCATAGCGTTCAAATTTTAACTTATTGCATATGCAATGCAAACAACAACAATAAACGGTTACAACAACAGCAGCTAAAAGGGGGTCGACTGCATGTAGAAATTGTGGCATGTGCGAAAAAAAAAACGAAAAAGGCGTACGCCTGTCATTAAATTTCGCACCGACAACGACAATAACAACAACTGCGTTCAGCAGAGGAAATGCCAGCGAAAACAACAACAACAACAATGTTGATAACTAAGTTAGTCGTCTCTGTCTGTGTCTCTGCGTGTGTGTGTGTGTGTGTGTGTCTGCTTGTACTTTGCCTCTGTTTGTCTGGGGGCGGCGCTCGCTGCTGTCACATATGACATTTTATTATTACAAAATAAGCATTTAAGCGAACGCGTATGACAGTTAATAATGCAAACAGCAGCAGCAGCAGCAGCGGCAACAGCAACAGCAGCAACAGCCATAACAACAACTTTGCACTAGCAACTCGACTGAATGCAAAAATTCCCACAACATCCGGTTGAGAGCAGAAAAACAACAGCAAACTGGCAACAACATTGACAACAACATCAGCAACAACAACAGCAGCAATATGAACAGCAACAGCGGCACGGAAAACGGAACAAATAAAATGCAACGAATGAACAACAAGCGTACAAATGCGGCACAGTGACTCAAACCACATGTTTATGGAGTGAAATGTTTAAAGCTGAAGAATAAATATTTACAATTATTTCTGCTGAGAATGATTCACAGCTATTTATGTCACGAGAGAATATTGAAAACAATGCAATCTTTCGATTATTCAATTAACAACTTTGAAGCAATGAAATATTTAAGAAAATCAAAAAACTTCTATCTTTGGCACTGAAGGATAACTTGTTATATTAAAGAGATTTTCATTCAAGAACTTATACCTGGTAACTTTGGAAACAAACAACTTTTTCATACAAGAACTCATTGTTCCTAGGAGAGCTATATGATAAATAGTAATCCGATCTAGGCAACTACATTATATGTATTCCCTAAAGTATACACAACGGATAATTACCAACTTTAATCAAGTTAGCCCCTAAACTGGGGAACAGACAAAAGAATATGACTATATCAGCTCAGCTGGTGATGCTGATCAGATATATATATAATTAAATGGTTCGGAAACGTCTGCTGCAATGTATTAAATGAATATAAAACTTGTGGCAATTTAAATCTTTTATAATTTGGATAATATTGTATAAATATTAATAAGTTTATGCAAATACATTGATTCATACATTCAACATCAAATAAAATCTGCCTCTGTGTTTTTTTTCCATTTCTGCAATTGAATTGCTCAATTATATACATTTGTCATTGCATGTGAAAACACTGTGGCACAGCTAGCGCCTTGCTGGTGTTGGTAGGCGGGCAACGGACTCCGCCTGCATGAGTGGCGGATATGCATATGGCCGGCGGACGTGAATGTAGATGCATTTGCAGAGTCAGAGAGTCACAGAGGCACTCGCATTCGCATTCGCACAAGCCAAACCAAAGTGAGAGTCGGAGGCAGTGGCAGTGGCAGAGTCAGAGTCAGACAGTGGCAGTGGCAGCGTTGCGACGCCGGCACTCGTGAGTCAGCGGCTGTGGAATGTGAATGGCATACAAATGTCGCAAGCGGACGCACAGACACGTGGACATGGACGCGAATGCGGACTGCGGACGCGGACCGGTTCCGCAGGCAGACAGCACAGACAGACAGAGTCCAAAGCCGAAGCTCAACCGCAAAATATATATATATACGTATATAGAAAGAGTACCAATTGATATTGCCAGGCCAATGCAAACAAGTTGCCACGAGAAGATGATGAAGGTGGAGATGAAGGATGAGGAATGGGGAATGGGGAATGGGGAATGGAGTAGCTGCTTGCTGAGAGCTGGGAACTGGCAACTGGGAACTGGCAGATGAAGGTGAGCCCGCTGACTCCTCCTCGCCAGCAGACTCGTGGCTAACCAGAGTTGAGTGGATTTTCCGGCGCGTTCTGCTTTGCGCCGCTTTTGGTCTGCCATGCAATGAAGACGACAACAAAAACCGCCAAGCAACCAACTGGCAGCAACAAGTTTTCTTCTGTTTGCACTCGTTGTTGTAGTCGTAGTAGACAAACAAACAAAAGACACACAGCGAGACACAGCAGACACACATTGTTACGTCTCTACGTATTTACATATTTACACATATTTTCCTATAAATACTCCAAACGCAAAGCGCGCTAGAACATTTTTATATTAAATTTCTTTTAGCCATTTGTCAACGCGAAAAAATTTCAAGAATTTATTTTTGGGGAGTTTCCCCCAATTGCCTTGCCCATTTTTCCCCCACTTTGGTAAAAATAAAACCTCACACTCTTTTTGATCCCCTTTCGAATCGTAACTGAAAGTGTTGAGGTGGTATTTGTGTCTTGGATAATTCATTTTCTTTTGTGTATTACAACATATACATAAAGTCAAGTTAGGTTGTTGGAAAATTAATAATAAGCATATATGAGACTTATTAGAGTATTAAAGTATATTTTGCTTTAATTAATCTTAGCTATTTTGTTGATTCACAGTATAAAATTGGTCTTAGAAAGATCGATTAAAAAATTCCACAAACAGATCTTTCTGTAGGAAAGATGTAAGAAATGTTGTCTGAGAATCAGTCAACAGTCAGTTATTAGTATTGAGTTACATATTTAATTATAAGTCCCTATATAGTTTTCATGTTGCTGCCATTTGAACTGATCATTCTCATGCCAATTATTTAGCATATAGTCATATCATTAAAGATGTTTTTGCCGTTAGCGAGCAGTTTATTCAATAGAAAACTTTTACCAGGTCATTTCGTATCTTTCAAATCCATTCATTTTGGCCATTCAGTTCAGCTAAACATTAACCACTTACAGCACTGTCATCAATCTTCATTGCGGCTGCGACTGAAGCTGATGCTGAAACTGGACAATCCAATAAATGGTTCCATTAATGAGCCATGCTTACAAAGATCGATAGCCGAAAGCGGCTAAATTGGTAACAGCGATCGATAAACGGCCAAGAGCGTTTTGCCATTAGAGCGGAATGACAAAAATCCGCCAAAGACTTAACGATCAGTTGGCATGCCTCAAATACACTGCAGCAAAAAGTTGTTAATGGACTTTTGATCTATCTAAATATAGATTCCTTGAAATCAAGGCTGCTAGAAAGCTGAAGAAAAAGCGGGACACTTTTAAATTAAATAATCTTTTTTGTTACAATTTTATTTAGAAATCTATTATCAGTTGTTATTTAAGTGATGCTTATAATAATATTAATCAATTCGACGTAGAAAATTGACTCTTTAGTTGAAAGAGTATTGCATTGAAAGATAAACTGCTTAATCGATTCAAATATCGCTAATAATGTCTTCACATTGTGCATGCAATTGGCAGCTGTTTCGTGTCTCTTGACTTTTGTGGGTCACCTGGTTAAATGGGAGGCCCGAATGGAATAACTGACCTTTGCTTTTGATCTAATCCGCTGCTGCCGCTGATCGCATCGTTTGTCACGGCGAGCCGCAACAAAAGCGCCCAGTTCCGGACCTGTCAACGTTTTGTTGTTGTGAATGCTTCGACGGCAACGGCAACGGCGACGGCGGCGGCTACCGGAGCTCAACGCTTCGAGCTCGAAGCTCGTCGCTGATGTGCGCTGGCTGATGATGAATGGACCCAGTGGCCGGGTCTGGTCTCATTCACAAAACCGACCAGCGGCGACAAACCAAACCAAAATATTAATTAGCATTTACGAGTGTGTGTGTGTGTGTGTGTGTGTTTGCCAGTGTGTGTGTGTATGACGGGGAATAAGGTCGCTGCCACAGTCACAGTCACATTCACAGTTTGCCGCTCACCGTTTGCTGTCTAATCGCCCGCTCACGAATCGACGGCAACAGCGGATGCCACAAATTTGGGCATGTGTCGCAGTCGCAGTCGCAGCCGTTTCTGCGCTGCCAGCGTCGCTGCTTCCTTTTGCGATTTTATGAATGAAAGCTTCAGCGTTCGTAGTAAGCGTTTTTGGCGTTGGCGTCGTCGTCGTCGTCGATTGGCATTGCCATTTATGGGCAAAGTGCAAATGTGCCCCGTCCATTGTGGCATGTGTACTCGCATCTGACTAACTGAGAGAGTATCTGTACATTGTATCTGTAGCCTGCTATCTGTATCTATCTATAGTGGCACAGTTGACGCTCATGTGCGCCCAGTACGACTTCAAACATCCAATCGTACATGTTGTGGGTGTGTTGACTCGGATTGTTGTTGTGTGTGTGGGATTTAGGTAGTTCCATAGTTCCATATTCATTTAATAGGTACTTAAGGCAGTTACTTGGGCGATTGATACTCTTGTATCGGATAATTACCAATCTCTTGGGTGTGTCATGTACATTTTTATAGACCAAGTCTTGAACTACCAAGTCAACTCAATAAAAGTAATTTATCAAACATTTAAGTACATTTTTCTATGTTTCTTTTTCTGCACGTGATATTGTTCTATACTCTATATAATAGAATAATAATTGTTTGCAGATGTTTTAATAGGCTTATTCATACACATATATATATAGTTTCAGTGTATTGGATTTTCGTTGTCGAACAACATTTATTTGCCGAGGGTTGTATTTGTGGTGTTTTTTTAGTTTTTTTTTTTTTGGTAGATTGTTTTTTTATGTCAGTTTTCCTCTCTTTTTTTTGTGGCGCTTATGTCGATACAATTCGATTGCGGTTGTATTGTTATTGTTGTTGGCATTGTTGCTGCTGTTGTTGATGTTGTTGTTGTCACTTTAGTGTGTCTTTGCCATCCGTTTGAGATTTCAATTGCGAGTGCGGCAGCCGTGTCATGTCCAAATGCATTCACATACTCAAACATGAATACGTATTCACACATCTGTACACACATCTGTATGAGTACATAAACATACGAATGTATATCCAATCCCATCCGCAGCGCCAAATTGCGCCAATTACGTGAAATCCGCTGTTGCCTCAAATACTTATTGTATCCATTGTTATACTTGTAGAGATGATTACGATTGTTGTTCATATGGCAGTCATATCAATTTACAATTTACCCCCAATAACAACAACAAATTCGAATTCAATTTGCGTATTATTTGGGGAATATGTGACAAGCCGTTAGCTTTTAGCTGTCATTTAAAGCGCAGTTGGCTTTGCTCAGTTGTCGGGCAGGAGTAACCCCCCCACATATGTACATATATCTATGGCATTTGGTATATCCATAAAAAGCAGTCTAGCAAATTGACTGGACAATTGGAGTATGATTGGCAGCGATTACAGTTAGTTCGTGGCTCAAATACAAAAAATACGCATAAATAAATAAGTGAATTAACTATTCCATTATTACAATCCATAACAGTGTCAATTTCAAGCGCTTGTCGGTTATTTCAATGATTATACAAGTAGTATTATTTTGCATTATTTTTTATTATTGGTCACATGTCAATTGCTCCCAGTTCAGTCCAAAGACCCCATTAAAACATGCTTATGACAAGATGTGTTTTCAAATTTGTTTATCCAACTAACTCCAAATATAGTAATAATGTTAACTGTTCATTGAGATGAAAAACAGCAGCATTATTGTTACAGTTTGTGCGCAAAAGCAAAAAAAATGTTAATCATAATTGAAAAAGTGTCAAAATCAGATTAAAATTTTTATTATAGACATTAAATTCAAGCATTTTGATTAGTTGTGCAATAATTAATTTAGCACGAAGGCAGGTCAATGTAATTAATATTTATTCAGTTAAATACTAGGTGCAGTTAGTAGTCGCTTGTACTGCAATTAAAAAATACCTTGACACAAAAAGCTAAAAATATCAGAAAACAAAGTTTCATCTTATAAAATCGAGTGCTTCACTCAGTTCTAATTTGGCCCTCAATCTGATCATAATTGTCCCCTGTTAACAGTTGATGTCTCTCAAATAGTCTTTACCTATCTATAGATGATTTTCGTAACTGATATCGGCAAGAGAGTTGCCAATAAACATTTCCGCTTTCACACGCACCACAATTGATATACCTCTTTGGCATGCGCGGCGTATACGCAATAAACGAAATGACAATATTAGAACAAAGTGGCGCCCCTTATCATTGGCGGAAGCTAGTTCAATGTAGTTCACACATTTCATTAATATTACAGGTCAACCTTGGCTATAATATTCTTAACATCTATTTAAATAGAGACAACCGTCTAAGACCCCCCGACTAATGCTATTTGCTTATAACCAAATCTTGCCAGCAATTTGTCAACTTTTTCAGGGGGATTTACAAAAACTTAAATGGCGAAAAATGCGCAGAATTAAAAAACGATAAGCAAACAATGTATAGTTAGTGAGTGGGTAGTGAGTAGTGGGGTGGGTGGGTGGACGGGCCTGCTGTTGATGGCCAACACGGGCTGCACGTATTTCCGCTATGCGTTGCATTCTCAGCTCTAGATAAACAAATTAAGCACTTAACGCAAAAGCAAAGCAAGCCGAAAACAGCAGCAACAACAACAACAAGTTGAACAAAAACAAAAACAATAGCGAGAAGTGAAATGCTCAAATGAAGAAAACACGACATGCTGCTAAGCACACGTAAGTAACGAACAACAGCAACAGCAACAGCAACAGCAATAACAGCAACAACAACAAAGCGATTCGAACGTAGTGTGAAAAGGCAAAAGAGGGAATTGTCACAATTTTGCAGAAAAAACACGTGCCGCTGATTAGTCAACAAGCGGGACGCAGTTGGAGGCACCAACAAGAACAACCACAACAGCATCAGCATCAGCAACAAGCGATAAGCGCAGAGCAACAGCGATGCTGGCTACACTGTTAGAAAAACCAAAAAAAATAAATAGAAACTATTAATACAATATGCAGATAGACATACACATTTTCCTCAATGTCATTTTAATTACAACTTATATTTTCGTTTCATAAATTATATATTTGTCCTATTTTTTACATTTTTATCATACACAAAACAAAGTATTAATAATATAATAACTGTTAGTTAGTCAGAGTAATTTTTTAAATTTGCTTGTCTAATTAAATTTTGATCATCAAAATAATTATATTCCACCTAATGCCTTACATGATTTGTAAGCACACATGTACCTCGTGGAGGCCACTCCATTTTTACTGTGTACACGTGTCTGCTATCTATATGCTTAGGGGGTGTCAGTGTGTGTGTGGGTGTGTGTGTGTGTGTGTGTGTGTGTGTGTGTGTGTGTGTGTGTGTTAATGCGAGTGTGTGTCTTGCCCCCATCGCCCAGTTTTATTGCGAACGCATCATAAAAATTATTTAACGCTATCGCTCATTTGTCATGCCGCGTTGACTCTTTCATTCTTTCCATCCTTTCCTTCTTTCTTTTCCTTCTTTCTTTCTTTCTTTTATGCATGTAGTATATGCTGTCATTCATTCCGTCTATTTGCGTGCCTGCGCTTTTGTTTTTATGATTATTAAATTTCCTCAAAAATGCTCTGCACTGACGTAATAATATATGCGTAAAAACACCGCACACACACGCACACACACACACACACACATACACACACCCACATACACAGACACACAGACAAGCATACATCACTTAGTAGATGGGTTGTCAGTGAGCTAAATAGCAGGGAAAAACAGAAACAATGTGATTTGATTAGACGCCAAGTTCATTAAGATAAGGCAATGTTTAACGACTATTGTCGAATGCCACAAATTTAAATTTATTATGAAAATAATCATATAAGAAATCTTCAGTCTCCTAGAAAATCGCGAAAAGTTGTACTACTTCACAGATGAAGACAAAACAGCTTTACAGATGATAACCAAAAAAAAAAATTCTAAAAAGAAACTATCAACTTATGAAATAGTCATACAAAAATATTGTTCTTATTATGTGGGTAATAGTTTTCATAAATAGTTTTCGAGTAAATATTTGAGCAACCAATATTTGATAGAAACTAAAACCAAAAAGACGTTTGTGTGTCAATCGCACAACTGTTTTCTGTAGAAGGCACAAAACTACGTCAGAGCGCTTCAAGTGTATTGTCTTACCTACTTGAGAACTATCAAAATTTAAAAAGCCAGAACCAATAAACAAATATGGTTAGGTTTCCTGCCATACAATACAATTTTCAAGCTACATCCCAAAAAAAATAAAAATAATAAATAAATAAATAAACCTTAAAAGTTTTCTTATACATACCAATATCATCATCAGTTGCTCTCTCACAATATCTTTCTCAATTCCCTACAATATAATGTTTGCGGAAGTCTCTAACACAATCTGGGGCATTTGTGGACCAATCAAATCTTATCAATTTTGGCACGTGTCTTCCGTCTGACATTCAAATTGAGCGCCCTTTTCTGTCATTTTTTTTTTTATTTTATTTTTTTTTTTTTGTTGAACAGAAGTTGATACTGTGAATGCCAAACATCTGGTTATCAGTTATCTGGTTGACGTTTATTTTCGTCGCATGAGTGAAAGAGCATTTTGCTATACTGTTCACTGCTGATAAAATACCTGAGTTATCAGGTTAAACAACAATACCATATCGATACTTAGGCCCCGAACACTGACGTCATTTGTGAGTTGGGGGCCAAAGTCAAAGACTGAAAGACTGATTTGGCGAGTGGCAAGTATTTGTTAGACCAAAAC